GTTTTCTCGCAATGCAGGTGCAAAGAAGTGTTTTATTTAAAAAAAAATGCTGCTTTTGAACTGCTTTTAAATTGATTCAGGATTGAATTGAATTACACTGCTTTGTAATAAATATAATTTTATTGTTGGAATATATTGCAGTTTTCTAAGAATCTAACAAATTAATATTAACATTAAATTAACATGTCTACCGAAATATAACACATTTCTATAAAAATAAATTTAATGAACTACCTTTCAGGGCACATTTATGCTACGGTATAAAGCAGCAACTATCACTGCTAAGAAAATTTATCTCTATTTTGTTTTCCATTTACTCAAGCATGTATCAGAAAGTTAGAGAGAGTACAAAGATTTCTGAAATACTGTTCTTTTAAAGTGTGTAGACCATATTCCTATTCTGGTGTGATCAATTTCTTGAATCTAGATCTTTTTCTTACCAGAAAAGTTAACTTTGACTTTGATCATTATTTTTAAGCTTAATAATCCAATCTCCTGAATTGCTTCAGCTAATTTGTTTTACATATTCCTTGCCGTTCACTGCTTTAAAATTCACCTTTTCATGTTTCCCATCACAGAATAAATTATGGTTCATATATAGGTGTAGTCGTACTTTTCATGCATGCTATTCAGTTATCTCATTAGATAGATTTGTTTAATTTACGTATCAATATCTTTAGGTTCTATTTGAAGCACTAAAATGCAAAATGATACTTTGTATAAATAAGTGTGTACTTGCAATTTCTTTAATGCTGGATTCTTGTTTAATTTTGACAGTGAGTTTGTCCCATTTGTTATCAATAAATAAAATTTACTAAAAAATACTGGATTTCTGTGAGATAATCAACAAATTCAATATATTATGTTACATTCTAGCATAATTTGCAGTTTTCTTGTGATGATCTACAACCAGGAAGAACAAAATCAACTTTATCAATACAGCATAAAAGTAAGAATACCAAAAATCTACAGACAATGACAATGATGCGAGTAACTAAAACACAACAGTAATTTACCAATGTTCTTTTATTATGATGGAAATAAAATGAAAATGCTTCCCAACAAGTGTACACTAAATTTAAAAGAAAGTTGCCGCTTTTCCTATGATTTTTTTGTTGAACCTATTCTCTATCCTTCCATTGTTGGATATAGGTCTCCCCCAGTTCTCTCCATCTTTCCCTATCTTGAGCTGTTCTCTGCCATGTGGGACCTCCTTGTTTCCTGATGTCATCTTTCCACCTCATCTGTGGTCTGCCTCTGGATCTCTTTGCATTGTATGGACGCCACTTTCCGATGGCATTGTTCCATCGTCCGTCTTGGAGACGTTCATTGTGTCCAGCCCATTTCCATTTCAGTTTTGCTGCTTGTTCTATCGCGTCTACTGTCTTTGTTCTGGTTCTGATCCACTGGTTACGTTTTCTATCTCTAAGTGATACACCCAACATTTGTCTTTCCATCGCTCTTTGTGCCTTCCTTATCCTATCCAAATTGGCCTGTGTAAATGTCCATGTCTGTGCTCCGTAGGTGAGCACCGGTATGATACAGGAGTTATATACCTTGCTTCGTAAGTATAGAGGGATTGTTTGATTTTTTAGAACGTAAGAAAGTTTGCCGAACGCTGCCCATCCCATTCTTACTCGTCTCGATATTTCGGCTGTTTGATTTTCTCTATTAGCTCTGATTGCTTGTCCTAGATAGATATACTCATTTACCTGTTCTATTTTTTCTGTTTTTTATTTTTATTGCCTCTTGGTCTTCCGTGTTTGTCATTACTTTTGTTTTGTTGAAGTTAATTTTTTGGCCTTTTTGCAGTGATTTTTCATGAAGTTCATTTTCCGTTAATACATATTCCTCTGTTTTCCTATTTCCTATGATAATTAGATATAAATAATATACATTTATAAATTTATGACCACTTTAAACCATATTCAGTATAAATACCATCTAGAAAAATTTGACATTAAATACTATTCGCATGTCATCAAGTCCAAGTAATTACAAACAACTTAAAGAGTCAGAAATCTATTTAGATATTAGAGGAAAATAATATTCAGTCCATAATATATATTCGGGATGTATGTAAAAATAAAAATTTAATAAATTTATTAGTCTTCCAAAATATCCTCTCCATTTATGTCTTGGTGAGGTTGATGAACAACTACATCATTTTGAATTTCTTCATTTAGTTTTTTGGCAAAAACTGAATCTATTTCAGATATTTGAGCAATAAAGTTTTGTTTTTGGTCAGCAGTCCAATCTATAAACCATTCTTTTCATACTATTGTCAATATTTTTAGGACATCTTACTGTTCCAGTCTGCTTATATTCCTTAATTGTTCTGTAAATAGTTGTTTTCGCAACACCTAAAATTGGCACATTACTTTAGTAAGCCTTGAGTTTAACAATAATTATTCTACAAAACTAACCTGCTGCCTGTTTTATTTTTGCTACCATGGCTGTTATTTTCATTACAGGATTATCAATTTTTATTTGTTTGTACATGTTTATAATGCATTGTTTTTCATTTGTTGATAAATGACCCAAATCTACTCGGCGTTTTTAGGTAAAGAAGCATAATTACCACTAGTACTTGGCATTGAATCCATATTGTTATCTTAATAACACTAATACGTCGCTAAATAATTCTGAAAAGAACTGTTTTTTATATAAATGCAAACGAAAAATCTAAAAATTAAAGAAATAATGCAGCAAATACAAAAAATCGATATATATTTTGAATTTTTAAAGTTTCACAAATGTCATTAGTGTCAAAATGTCATAATTTAGCGGAGTAAACTTGCCTGAAGTTGTAGCAATTTCAAACAAGCATTACGGCACGGTAAATTAGAATTACTCCTTTAAAAATTTAATTTTTTTATATTGTTATGGCCTTTATATGCAGTTTTTAAAAAGTTCCAAAAAACGCCTGTTTTAAAAAGGTGAGGTGGTGTTTTTGATCTTTTTAGAATTTTATTTAGTCTTATATATAAAGTATTAAAAAATTGATTGGTTTACTGGAATTAATATAGTAGATTTTGAGAAAAACGTCTCCCAGTTTTCAATTATATGATTTCGAGAAAAACGCATTTGAAGTATTTATATTGTAATTTTGAGGAATAAAATAGCCATATTTATTTTTTACCTCTAATCAGCTGTTCCTGGTGCATATTGGGTGCCCCCACTGTCCAGTACATTGACGGTCAAAATTTTTTTTGATAAGTTTGCCCTCTTTTAATATTTCGCTGTTCCTTCTATTGGCTTGAGCAATACGAGCTTTGTCGATATTTTCCGACCAACTAGTTGCAACTTCTCCAACTTAAAAGCAACAATAATTTTCCTTTTTTTAAGTTCCCTTAAACGAATGTATTACCTAACATTATCTAAATATTTCATTGTTACGTTCAATAATTTTCGGTAAACAACGAAAAAATAACGATGGAGGCGTTAATATACTAAGTGACAGAAATCCGAACACCCAGTTTAAATGATTTTATTTTAATAATATTTTGTATAAGTACTTAATGAAGCATAATAAGTAAATGATTCAAATTTTAAAATGATTGCATTGATTTAAAGCCCTTTTACCTTTAATAATGTGTGGATGCACCCCGATGTGTTACGCATTCTCCAACGCGCCTAGGCATGCTTCTGATCAGGTGGTCAATGTCCTCTTGTGGTATCTCATTCCAGGTAACCACCAACTCCTCTCGAAGTGCTTGTAGAGTCTGAGGAGGACGTTGCAAATTGAGCAATCTCCTACTCATCATATCCCACACGTGCTCAATTGGGGATAAGTCTGGAGATCTTGGAGGCCATGCTAACAATGTAACATAATTACGTTGAACGAAGTCTATTGTGACTCTTGCAACATGTGGTCGGGCATTATCTTGTTGAAAAGTTGGATTTGCCAGGGTGTCAAGATAGGGTAAAAGGTGGGGTTCTAGAACTTCTTGGATTTAACGCTGCGCGTTCATGTTACCTCTGATGAAGATTAAAGGTGACCTGGAACCATAAGCTATAGCACCCCAAACCATAACTCCAACAGTTGTGATGAACATGTCTTTCAACAAAAAACTGTGGATTCCTCCTTTCACCACGTCGCGTTCTAACCCTCGTTCGATCATCGTGCATGCCTAAACAAAATCGAGACTCGTCACTAAAGACACTACTGTTCCATTCCTGATTCCAGAGTGACCGTTCTCTGCACCACTAAAGGCGATTACGGCGGTGTTCTGGAGTTAAAGGGAAGACCCAGTGTGGTCGGTATGAAAACAGGAAAAAACTTCTCATTCGTCGGTAAACACTTCGGATGCCAATAGGTCTTCCGTGTTCTGCAAACCATTCATTTGCAATGAAGCTGGTAGTAGAGAAACGGTCATTTAAGGTCAATAATCTTAGGATGCGATCTTCACGGTCTGTTGTTCTACGGCGGCGTCCAGTGCCCCTTGCTCTTTGCGTACGACCTTCTTGAAGCCATGCCTGACAACACCTAACCACGGTGTCTACACTTCTTTGCACTCTAACTGCAACTTCCCGAAAAGAAAGTCCAGCTTCCCGAAGTCACATTATACGGACCCTATCAAACTCACTAAGTTGACGAAATTGTACAGGTCTCCGTACTCTAGGCATCGTAACCAATCGTAAAGAATGTCAAGAACCACAATCCGCCAAATTTGGATCTTTACTGCGGCTGAAATATTCATTTTTAGATTGTTAGTGAATTTAAAAACAAAAAGTATAAAAACCGGAATCTCCAACTGATAAGGCTAAAAACTTTATCACTTGTTTTTTTCAGTAAGATAAATAAATTACACCATATTTTACTGAAATAAAATCATTTAAACTGGGTGTTCGGATTTCTATGTCACTTAGTATATTTGTTGTACAAAAGCGAACATTTTTCAAGAGTTTACTTAAAAAATAGATCAAATCATTCATATTATTAAAGAATATTTATATTCGTAAAAAAACGCTTTAAGAAACATTTTATTTCTTTCCAGGTGCCATATGCGGTGGACAATGTTGCGACGAAAAGACGGAGACCTTATTAAGGAAGCAGGGCCAAAGGGACTTTGCAGCCCTTCTCCGTCACAACTCCAGGTCGCTTCAGGGATTGCTCACTTCCACAGCGACAACTTTGCAAAGTAAGTTTCCGAATAGCTCTAATTAACTCGTAAGGTTTCCAAATTTAATGAATGGCGGACTTCGGAGAAATCAAACTGGGCTTAGGGGTTGTAAATTTCGTTAAGAGGTTTCCTATTGGCTGGATGGACTTATAGTCACTAATTGCTTTTAGGTAATAACTGAACAATATGACTGTAAGCGTAAACTTACGTAGACGGTCAAGTAAAGTATCAAATAGCTAGTTTATTTGAAAGACGCAATTACAAATAAAGGAAATGAAGGGTATTCACAAAGATGTCCCGATCTGCGTGATTATATTCATCCTTCTCTGAAATATATTGCTCAATCCGGTTAAAAAATAATAAGATAATGTGTATATATGTATATATATATATATATATATATATATATATATATATATATATATATATATATATATAAATAAGAATCACTCAGATGAGTGGTGGGTTCAATTGTCGGTCAACTAGGTGGAGAAATAAAAGACAAAGTTGATACTACTTCTTCTATTTTGAAGACGTTTCGCTATCGAATTCTGATAGCATCATCAGTTCATCTAAAAATTTTTACATTATGAGTACCACACATTCATGAAGAAGATGTTAAATAGTTACCTTAAAAAAGATATGTAGTTGTCAATGGTATTAAAAAGGTAGTACAAAAACTCAAATAAATGGACATCATATGGTGATATTGTATAAACAATTAAATAACTAACAACATTTAGAGACTTAGTAAAAATTAGCAAAGCAACAGAACACGTGGTCTAATAAGCATATAATATTTAATATAATATTAACTAGTGAAAAAAAAAGCCCTACCACCTGACAAGGTTCGGGGTACCTTATCCTTCTTCAATGAATTTGATCCTCACTTACAGTTCACTGTTGAACTTGAGGACACTGTCACAAATAGTATCCCCTTTTTAGACATGCGTGTCATCAGAATGGGAGATAACACCCTGACCACAAGTTGGTATAGGAAACCAATAGCCTCCAATAGGTTCCTTAATTACCATTCCTGTCACCCTATGAATATAAATTGAACCTTATTAAAGCACTTAGTTGCAGATTACATAAATTGACACATCCGATTAATCGAAGGGAATCCCTTAAGTTATTGAGAAATATTCTAATTGAAAATTCATATCCATCCTCCATCATAAATAAATACCTATATTCTCAAAGTTATGGATCCTCTTTTGATGATATACCCAATGGTGACCAACTTAGAACCATTTCTAATAATTCAGTCAATAGCATTGTTCTGCCTAATACTGATCTTGAGAATCCTACCTACCCATTATTCATCTCTGCCTTATTTTCCTCAAGTTACGGAGAAGCTTATTAAACTGTATAAACATAACAACATACCAGTTAAAATTGCAGTTAAGAATGCTAAGACTGTTAGAAATTTGTTTTCTAAAACTAAAACACCCTTGTCCACTTTGGAACAAGTTAATACTATATACTATTTACCCTGTGCTGAGTGTAACGCTTGTTATATTGGCCAAACTGGAAGATCACTAAAAGGACGTCTTACTTCTCATCGAAGTGACATTAATCTTTCTAAGCACATATGTGCGTTAGCGCAACACGCAATTAACACCAAACATAAGGTGAATTTCAATGAAGTCAAAATTCTTGGCACTGAGCGCAATCTTGGTAAAAGACAGTTCTTAGAAATGTGTTCCATTCTCAAACATCCTAATGCTTTAAATAAGAGAACAGACATAAGTAACTTGAGTCAAATATATCATGCTTTAATTTTGCAGAATTAGGCTTTACAATCAGTTCGTTATGTATGTGTCTCTGAAGTCGTACAATTCAACACATTTGTCTTTAATAAATAATTCTAATACTTTAACTTACTATAATTAATACTTGATAAAATATATTATTACATTAATGCTAATTAACTTAGACTTACTTATGCAACTCACATTGCATACTTGGTCGTTTTTTCATATATTGATTAATTTGACCTTCTGGTTTTTTACTTTAATATAAATAAATACAATTCAATCTTTGAATACTTTATAAATTAAAGTTCCAAGCGTGGGACCTTGGACTTTTTGGAAATTAGGTGCTTATCGTCATTCACCTGTAGATGTATATCCAACTACACTGTTGACGTTTATCACCATTTAAATATGGAGTTGAATGAATTTTGCCTACTTGTTTGTTCTAGACTAGTTGATGCAGGGGATTAGCGTTATCGCTAATTTCTTTCATTGTTGGTCTCTTACGGGAGGGTTATCATTCAAACTCATGTTAACTTTTTCAAATTTACCGCCCGTAAATTAGTGGGTTGGTACTATTAACCTTGCTGTTCTGTCGAATAATTTTCGACCTCAAGGCTGGCTGTCTGTTTCATGTCATTGACTCGGTACGTTTTAATTAACGCCATTTCAACTGCAACAGGTGCCAAGCAAACAGTGGTAACTTCACTTTATATCTTTTTTATATATATTTTTTATATCTTAATGTAGTTAACTTAAATAATGCTACCAAAAGTTAAGATGAAGTCTAAAATAAAATAAAATTTTTTGCATAGTTGGAAGTGAATCAATGATTTTCTTAGTTCTTTTTCACTAGTTAATATTATATTAAATATTATATGCTTATTAGACCACGTGTTCTGTTGCTTTGCTAATTTTTACTAAGTCTCTAAATGTTGTTAGTTATTTAATTGTTTATACAATATCACCATATGATGTCCATTTATTTGAGTTTTTGTACTACCTTTTTAATACCATTGACAACTACATATCTTTTTTAAGGTAACTATTTAACATCTTCTTCATGAATGTGTGGTACTCATAATGTAAAAATTTTTAGATGAACTGATGATGCTATCAGAATTCGATAGCGAAACGTCTTCAAAATAGATGAAGTAGTATCAACTTTGTCTTTTATTTCTCCACCTAGTTGACCGACAGTTGAACCCACCACTCATCTGAGTGATCCTTATTTATATTGGATAGACGGTCGTACTTTTTTGCGATGCTATATATATATATATATAATATATAATATATATATATATATATATATATATATATATATATATATTGTCATACTTCTTCTTTCCCAACCAAAGAAAAAAATAAATAAAAAGATCCATCGGAATAAAATTTTAAGATATCATAAACAAAATGTATATAGTAATTTAAGATAAGATTTAGTATAGATAAGAATAGAAACTTGTTTGGCAAATGACTTTGTCCGTGTCCAACAAAATGATCGAAAAACCCCTTTTGTGTAGAATTAGAAGACATTTTACCTGCAAGTTAATCTTGTCTTTTTTGTGTATTAAATGACCATATTCTAATCTTTGGAAACAGGTATAGATTGTGTATTAACAGACTGAGGCAAAAAAAATCAATTTTATTTATTCTTTCTCTGAAACAGTAATTTGGTTTTACCAAATTATACACAGAATTTTTAGAATAAACATTAACAGTAGTAAACAAGATTTGAGCTTTTTAATTGGATAGTCGTTTTTGAATGGTAATGGGGTTAGCCTGATTAGGAGACCGGGAGCAAGGCAGTTGTAATTTGGCAATCGAAGAAAACAGTCGTTTGTTTAAAGATAGGGTGTGGTTCGTGAGTTTGGATACCGGCATTGTGAAAAGAAGTGAGTAGTTTTGCAGAAGGAGATAACAAGTAGATTAGAAGAGGTCCGTGTATCTACCGTGGGCATTTTGTGAAGTATATGTGAAAGTAGTTTTACGGCATCAAGTTGACAAAAGGAGGTCCTTGTGTCATAAATAAGTAGCTGAGTTTTTGGAGAAGTGAATCAGGTGTTTTTGGGTAGTCTGCAGGAGGTTTGCAGAGACGTTAGGAAGGAGCCGAGGTGCCAAAGAGGAGAGATCACATCGTTGAGGAGACTGGACTTTTCTGGGTATGTTCCAACATACAATTCAATAAGGAAAAAAGCTGTAAGTGTTTTGTACAATTGAAATTGATATCTGTGAAGAATCTGTGTTGACATCATGATCATTATCATTCAAATTTAAAGAACTGAGTTTTGTTAGACTAATCAAAAGTTTAAAGTTTTGTTGTTTTTTTGTTTCAAGTAAAGGAAAGTTTAAGTAAAATTGGTTTTCACTTAATATAAATGTATGTAGATTTAAAATCTTATTATTATAAAAAATTCATTTAATTTCTTGTATGGTGATTGATAAGATAACGGCAGAATTTGATAATTGTTTTATTCTTTTTCATATAAAATAAAGAATACTTGATTTTTTGTAATATACTATTCTCGTTTATTATTATCCTTCTTCTCTATCCCGATAAAGGACGACTAGAAAATCTTTGAATCCATCGAACACAGGTAATATAAGGAGTTTTATTTTACATTTGATAACAATTAAGTTATATTTTTTGATTGGCTCAATAAAGTAAAATCAAAGTCAAGATAAACAATCATAACAATATATATATATATATATATATATATATATAGATATATATATATATATATATATATATATATATATATATATATATATATATATATTAGTAGATTTTCTTGGGCTTGGGAGTTCATAAAAAAGATTGTCATCATACTAAAAAGACATTTTTATTTTCTTTTTTCGACGTTTCGGCAGGAATTCCATGCCTTTTTCAAGAAATAATATTGACTAAAAAACATTTTATCAACGACATAATAAGGTTTAAAAGAGAAACTTTTGACTTACCAAGCATGTAAAAATTCGGTGCTAAACACAATCAAAATAATAATAAAAGCATAGGACAGACCAACTAAGTCACTACATGTAAAATGTATTTTAAAATTTATTATGTTGTTTATTGATGTTGGTTTATCATTTAAAAAACAAGATATATTCAATTAAAATATATCTTGTTTAAATTTTTGACATATTTTTTATCATTTATTACATTATTATTCTTTTTTATTTGTATAGACTCTAGGAGCTTCCTCTTCTTCATGGTATGTTCACTGCTTCGTCATGAAAGCAGTATAATAAAAT